TCTCTGGGAATGATTAAGAACCTAAATCTAGAGTCTCAGGTCAATGCTTTTCCTCTCTTATAACTGGTACACCGGAGAATGTTGCTATCCTTCGTTGGCTTGCCTTTCTCGTTTTCTCTTGGCCCTTTCTCTATTAAGTAAACGTGATAGGATATCTTATTTCCATAGGGACCTTCTCAGATATAAGCAATAATGGTGTAGTTAAGAAGATTAATCCTCGAATCTCCCTTTGACCTTCTCCCCCAATTCACATTATTCAAAAACCTGAAAAAAAATTGCTTTCATCCTAGACGCAAATCCAGATCTCCTTCCCCTAGAAGACGATCTTCCCCTGTCAGGAGAGAGAGAAAGCGCAGTCATTCTCGATCTCCCCGTCACAGAACCAAGAGCCGGAGTCCTTCCCCTGCTCCAGAAAAGAAGGAAAAAACTCCAGAGCTCCCAGAACCATCAGTGAAAGTAAAAGAACCTTCAGTACAAGAGGCCACTTCTACTAGGCAAGTACATAAAAATTCATTTATAAATATCACAGTTTTAGGCTGGTATTCAGTGACTACAAATATGATACCTCTGAGTTAAAAACATAAAATTACTTGATTATTTTCCTTTTAGATTTTTTAAATTAGTTTGTTGAAAAGAAATTCAAATTGTGTAGGAGAGTATAAATAAAATGCCCCAAAGGTAACCACTGCTCTCTGTTGGTTGTGTTGTTTCATATATTTTATATACTGTAACTTGCTTTTTTCCCAATATTGTAGACAACTGCACTTTAAAAAAAATATATGTGGTTAGAATTATTAGTTGCTCACTGGATTTCACTGACGTGTATATATATATCTTTTGGAGCTAGGGAGAAGTCTTCATGGATTTTGAAAACTTGTTAAAAAAAGACATAGCTTGATTACATCATTGTATTATGGTTTAGGAGTCTGAGTAGAAGAGGGGAAAAATAAGCTTTTTCTTACCACAGTGACATCCTGAAAGTTCCCAAGCCTGAACCTGTACCAGACCCTAAAGAACCTTCTCCAGAGAAAAATTCCAAAAAAGAAAAGGAAAAAGAGAAGACCCGACCAAGATCTCGGTCTCGTACCAAATCAAGATCCCGGACACGTTCTCGCTCTCCTTCTCATACTCGACCTAGGCGGCGCCATAGATCTCGATCAAGGTGAGTTGTAGCTTTAAGGTCTGCATAGATCTTAGGTTTTATGTACTACTCTTCTAGGCAGAATTAGGTAAATGATTTCAAAGCAGTGGAAAACATTTAGTACAAATGTTATTCTGTGGATTTACAGAGAGAATTTGAGGATACTTTCTGTGTAGCATAAAAATCTCTACATAAATGTAAAACTATATCTCTTGACAGCCTTTTTTAAATGGTAGCTATGTCAAGGAATTCATTCCTTGTTCCTGATTTATTCAGGTCCTAATTCTGTTTGTGTTTGTTATGGCAGATCATACTCACCTAGAAGGCGGCCAAGCCCAAGAAGGCGACCATCTCCTCGAAGAAGAACTCCACCAAGACGAATGCCTCCTCCACCAAGGCATAGAAGGAGTAGATCTCCAGTGAGACGGTGAGAGTTTTCTTTTTTCTTTTTAATTTGGAAGTGTCGGGTGTATGAAAGTGCACCATATGTTTGTTTTAGGCTAATCTTTAAGTTAGTGTCTCCTGAAAGAAAGAACTCATGAGTAGTAGTAGATAATGTCTTCTAAAGAGCCTGTCTCCTTTGAGGTGTAATGCTGTTATTTGTGCAGTGAAAAACAATGTTAGTCCCATGTTGGAAACTAAAAAACAAGAAATTTACCATCTTGTCAGTAACTTTGTGTTAACTTTTACCCTTTCAGACCCCACCAAGAAATTCTACTAAGTAGGGGAATCGGCCACCTTCCCTCTTCCTTTGGCTTTTAATTACCACTGGCTTCTGAAAAGTAGATGACTACAGAGCCAGTAAGCTGCTTTTACCAGTGTTAGAATAATCCATTTGCATTATACTTTTTTTTAATGTATTTTTTTCTCATTATAGAAGTAATGAGTGCTTAGTATGAACAACTCAAACAAATAACAAATTGAAAATTACCTGTAATCCTGTTCCATAGATAGAGCCATTATTAGCAGTTTACTATCTAGTTATTTTTTAAGAGACTAGGCATAAAAGTAACCCTGTCAATACCAATGTTCTTTTTTTAAAATCATTTTAAAAATGAGCATAAGGTAAAATGTTTGGATCTAGCACTTTTAACGGAAAGATTGTTGCTAAATCTGCCCAAAGTAGAGTCCTGGTGCACTCATAGCAGAGTTTTGTGTTGTCTTGACAATGTGTTCCACCTGTTTGAGGAGGACCTGTAATGATTGTGCTTCAGATTATGCTTAGGACAGAATTTTTTGTTTAAGTCTTTAAAGGTTTTTTCAGGGAACCGAATCAGCTTGGGAATAAAGAGGGGAAACAATAAGCTCCATAATTTTTTTGGTTTGTGTCTGCAGTCTAAGGTTTTTCAGAGTCCCATATTTTTTAAAAAGATATTGTTTTCCTTTGGGGAGGGGTTCTCAAAGTATATTGAACCATTTTTATAACTACTAAAAATTATAGAATTGATGTTACTACTGACAAACAAGACTAATGATGTAAATGGTTAGTCAGTTTAGGCATCACACTTTTCTAAAATTGATTATTTCTCCTTAGGAGAAAAGTAATGCTGGTGCTTTGTAGTACAAGATTAGTGGAAACAGCTATTTCTTATATTGGAGTTTTGCAAACAGTGTGTTTTAATTGTGCTTACTGAGCCATTTAGCAGTCAAAATATTTTGCAGATTGTGTAAGATTCCCTTTCAGCCAGTTTTTATCTCACACTTAAGGTAGGGTTTCTTTTTTTCAGGTTCTCAGGAATTCTTCTGCCAAAGGTGAATTCTGCAGGTACACATAATTGCAACAGAACTTACCACAAATTTTGCCGCAGAATTCGAGAGGCCCCTGCTTCTAAGTTTATGTAGCTAAATGAATTCCTAATCTGGCACATCTTTTTTTTAAAAAAAGCAACCTAAAGGTTGCTTGACATTGTGTTATTAAATGGAAAATACATTGCCACTCAAATTTTGTATGCAAACTCCAAAACGTTGATAATCATTCCTAAGGAAGAAAGAGATTGGTTAGTTATTGTATTATAGCACTCGACATTTTATAACTGGAAAGACAACTCAGACAGAAGCGTTTATCAGAATAAGTTATTTATTTATGTTTAGTCTCAGAACTAGCTGTTTCCTGTCCTAGGTTATGATTTTGTTTCCCATTTTTTTTTTTAAACTCATTTAACGTGCTTAGCTACATAAACTCAAAAGTTGGATAAAAATAGCTATATTTTTGTGTAAACTATACATATCTGTACATACTTTTAAGTACGCAGTTAATGAATATGAATACTTTATTCCACAGAAGAAGGCGTTCATCAGCATCCCTGTCTGGGAGTAGCTCATCATCCTCTTCATCTCGTTCCCGGTCACCGCCAAAGAAGCCTCCTAAGAGGACATCCAGCCCCCCTCGAAAAACTCGTAGGTTATCTCCTTCAGCAAGTCCTCCGAGGCGAAGGCATAGGCCATCACCTCCAGCAACTCCACCGCCAAAAGCTCGTCATTCCCCAACACCCCAGCAGTCAAACCGTACAAGAAAAAGTCGCGTTTCTGTCTCTCCAGGGAGAACTTCAGGTAAAGGTAAAAATCAAACACATAAAAACAATATGTTCGTTCTTGCTTCTTTTGGTAATGAAGTGCCTAGTCATTTGTTAGCGCTTCCCTCCCGCCCTTTAAAGTATGAAGTAGCTGCGTAATGTTGGTATGTGATGTTCTTTGTAAATTGGCTTAGAGGCTCACCTTTTCTTTCCTGCTTTAAGTTCTTGGGGTTTGTTGAAATAGAGTTTACATGTAAAAATGTTTTGTTTTTGGCAATGCCCTCTGGCACTGAGTAGGTGGAGAAAAATCACCAGCTGTGCGCTGTTTGAGTTGGGGTAACTTATTGCAGTTTGTGTTGTCATGATAAGGGATCATTTTATTACTATGAGACCAGTTTACTTTTTTTCCCTTGAAGATCTTTTTGTTTGATGTCTTGAGGACTTCATATTCTGTTTTAATTCTTTCTTGACTGCATTGTGCTCCCTAGGGAAGAACATGGTGTCCTCTTAAAAGCTGATTTGTTTTTTTAATTTAGGCTCTAGGCAGGGTTCTTCTGAGTGTTGTCCTTGCTTTATTCTGCTGATAGATTTGAGGAATTTATGATCTGTGATCTTTCCAGGCAAGTAGAATGCTGTGTTAGTCTGAGTGAAGGTTGTGGTCTGTTGGGATTTGTTCCTTTAGCATTAGATACACATGGAGGAAAAGCTATAGGAGCCATTTGCATCAGGCTTCTCATGCTTAAGGCTGGAATGATAAAGACAGCCTGAAAGATGAGTAGTGGGGGAGTGGGAGGATCTTAAAAGCTGCTATAGTAATTGGATTTTAAGGAGCAATCTGTAGGTTAGTATAGACGGGGGTTGCTTTGATCACATTTAAATATTTAGGTTAGAAACAAAGAAAATGGGGATAGGCAAAATTTTGACTATTTTAATGAACTTGATGAGATCAGGACTTCTACTCAGCACCCTGCTGCTTTGTCCCCCCTGTACCCCTACAACTTTGCAATGTGGTGATGTCTAGAAAGGCAAATTTGCTTTAGTTTTTTTGAACTTTTGTTATAGTGAGGTATAGAGAAGCTATCAGAGTGAAAGGGAGATTGGCAGATAATGGTAATCTGTAAAGAGTAATGTATAGATTATTTTCTGAATTTTAACAGGTTAACTTGGTGATATATAATTTAAAAAATTATGTGGTCGTTTTTGTTGCATTGGCTTTTTAGCTATAGTCAGGCAGCTGGATAAGAATAGAGAAACCTTTAGGTTTTACAGGTTCAGACTTAATTTTATGGGAGGGGGCCTTAGAATCACTTATTTTCATAACCTCATGTTCCACAGTACTTTTTTTTTTTTTTTTTTGCCATCTTGTAAAGGCTTTATCTCTACTTCATCATTGTCTCCATATTACTTTTTGTTCAAAGTTGGGAAGATTTCAGTCCGACCATAGTTTGCAGTCACCATGTCCAAGTCTGATGCCCATTGTCCTGATGTATTTTTCCTTTTCCTGTGAAATGTTTGCATTCTTTCCTTTGTCTAGAGCCAAAAAACTCTCTAGTGAAAAAATATTATAAATGTTCCCACCTGTTGCTTTGCAAAAACACATTGTTATGCTTTCTGTTTACATCATTTATCCAAAGGGTGACAAAAGTACCTGAACAGAAGGACAGAATCCTTGTTAAAATAGGTTGATCATTAAGAACTATTAGTTACCTTCTCTGCACAGGTACCAACCTCTTGTGTTTTGATACATTGTCAGGGGAGCGGGACTCTACTTCCAGAAACAAGTCACAGTGAATATGTACATTGGAGAGAAATAAATCGTGGTCCAAGACAAAGGACTAGTTATATTCCTATGGATTCTGGGGCAGGTCTTCCATGTTTAACCAAAGGAAGGCACTTGAGGGCAGTGTGGTCAGAGGCTGCCTTGTGTCTACTGAAGCTGAATAGTTATAACTACTTGGAAATAACTTTCTATAGTAAAATGATCCCGGCCCTCTATGATGAAATTCCAGAGCTAGAAAAGACTTTAGAGATTGTCATCAAGAGACAGGTTCTCCGGTTAAGTGATTTGGTCAAGGTCAACCAGGCAGGACTTTAATCTGGGTTCTTATTCCCAGTTGAAAAATACATACTTTATCCAACTTTCCTACCCCACAATGCCTGTTTTGATTGCTGGAGGAAGGAGATGGAGGACAGGGTGAAATTCTTTCGCTTCTGTACGTGGTAGTATGATTTCAGAAATTCCTTTTTTGCAGTCTCCATGTCTAGTAAGAGTAGTGACATCATTGAAAGGTCAGATTTTACTTTTGCATTGCATGTAGTAGTCACCAATCAGGGCTTTAAGGTTCTGCTGTTGATAGTGGGCAAATGGAATGGGAGGGAAGCAGGAAAAGTATTTTGGAGAATTTAGAGGTAAATTATTTGTAGTACAATATATATTCTCATCTGAAAGGGTCTTTGGGAAGGATTTTGTAATCAGTGCACTTCAGTTAAATTGGCCTTATCTTAGTACATAAAATAGTGCTTTGAAATAATAGGATATTTAATGAATTGTCTTTATGGAGGATCTATATCTATGGTGGTAATTTTGAGTTTAGATCAACTTAGCCTATAAATTATGCTCTATAGACATTTAATGATTATTTTCCTAATTCTGGTCACAGAGTGACTTATCTTTACAAGTGATCTTTTGGGCAAGACTGGAAGATTAATAATTAATAGAACTGTTGAAGTACGTTTAAAATTCTGGTTTTTCAGTTGACTTAGATTTCTAACTTTATGCTAGAATGATTTTGCCCTTTGAATACTAAAAATAAAAACATTAGCATAACATGGGCCAGCCCCATGGCTTAGCGGTTAAGTGCGCGCGCTCCGCTGCTGGCGGCCCGGGTTCAGATCCCGGGCGCGCACAGACGCACCGCTTCTCCGGCCGTGCTGAGGCTGCGTCCCACATACAGCAACTAGAAGGATGTGCAGCTATGACATACAACTATTTACTGGGGCTTTGGGGAAAAATAAATGCATAAATAAAAAAGAAAGTCTTCTCTTAAAAAAAAAAAATTAGCAGAACAAAGTAAACTGTATAAAATCTCATCTAGACAAACAAACTTGATGAAATATTAACATTATTTGAAATATTAATAGTGCTATAATTCATTCAGTCATGTTAAACTAGAGTAGGGGTATATAATGGATACATGTCTAATGGTATGAGCATATTAGCAATAAATAAAGACTATTTTAGCTAAGCCATTAATGACATTGAATCAGGATAAAACTCCAAATGTGTATTTCCATGGGAAAAAATATAAATAGTTATAGTCCAATTGTATTATTTACTAAGAGGCCTTTGCCAGCAATCTTATAAATATAACCACATTTTTAGCATTTGCTAGGGGAAAATGCATTCTGACATCCAACAACCAGCTTCCAAATACATTTTGGAACCCAGTTCTCTAAGGTGGTAATTTAGACATACGGATTTATAGATAACTGAATGCCTATATAATATCTTTTCAAGAATTGAAGGTTAAGTGACACTTAAAAATGGAGAATACTCACCAGAAAAGTAGCCTCAAATCCTTAAAAATTTTAAAGCAGTGCTATTTCATTTCTTTGTGTTTGTTAAAATACAAGTTAAATGCACTTTTGCTACCATATTTCATGATAACTAATTAGGTGTTAACCATTCTGTATCCAGTCCAGTGATTTGTCCAAAAGGCTCTTTAGGTAGAATCATTAATAAAAAGCTAGTCATTTTAGAAGTATAGTGGGAGTTCTTCAGTTTGACTACTTTAGCACAGAGGAGATTGCTGTTTTAGATGGCTAGCTCTCTAAGTTACTACCCCTTAGAATAAGCCTTTATAGAATTCTGAATGTGCACGTCTGTTAAATGAAATGTATCTACATTCTGGGTCGAACATCCCATGGTAATTGCTTTAATCAAACAAAACAGGTGTAAGGTTCCTGAGGGGATCATTTTGTCCTCAAGTTTAGTTTTTGGAGGGATAGTCTCAAATGATGTTTCAGGTTAATCTATAGTGAGATTAATGGTTATATCTGTAAATACTTTTGATTTTAGTTGAAGCAATGGATAAACATTAATTGTTGGAAATTAAGGCCTGTGCCCTAGAAAAAGTCTCTTGGGTTCAGATCCTAGTTCACTTAAATTATCTATGTGACTTTGGTTGGAGTTACTTTCTAAACCTCAGATTTCTCCTCTCTTTCTAAAATAGGGAGAGTGATACTAGCAACAGTACTTAATAATACAGCAAGCGCACAAAAGGTAGTTGCCATAATAATTTTCCATGCAAGTGGGAAAAGATTAGTTGGATAATTCATAAGGTACCCACAGCTCTCCTACTACCTTAGTTATATCTCAGAGTTGTTTCTTTTTTTTTTCTCTTTTAAAGCTTTGGAAAGAATCGTCCAGCCTTAGTATTCTTTTTACCGTTGTGAAGGTCTGCTTTTTTATAGGTGGTTTAAATCCCTCATGGCTGTGGTGAAGGAAGGTTATGCTCTACATAAAGAGCCTTCAGCTTCTTGGGTGGCTAATTCATTTCACTTCTCCAGACGAAATATCTGTCTCTGGGAAAGTTTCATCAGATCTTATTTCTTAATCATTTATCATCTTTATTACTTTTCTGTACCCACCTACAGTGGGTGCTTGAAAGCTCTTAATGCTGATGTGGCCTCTGTAGTTGAGTGTGTGTTTTAGATTGTGGGGTGGGTGGCACACAGAGGTTTACTTTATTGAGCTGAATGTTTACATAGCATAAAGCTTGTTCTACTCAGAAACAGCAGCTCCCAATTTCTCTTAACTGTTGTTTCTCTTGGGAGAATCTTAAGATTCGAAAGTCAAATAGAACTTTTTAGGATTTTCACCAAACATTTAAAATTTCTTGCTTACGCTTCAGGTAATGTTTAGATAATGACAATAAAGTCTTATAGGACTTTTTAAATTATCGATAAATTCTTAATGAGAAAAATCACACCTATTTTTTTTACTATTAAGAAAATATCTTGTTGTATAGCTTTGGTGGGTTTTTTTTTCCTTATTGTCTTTAGTGACAAAACATAAAGGTACTGAGAAAAGAGAGTCTCCTTCACCAGCACCCAAGCCTAGAAAAGTGGAGTTATCTGAATCAGGTAAGTTTTTTTTGTTTTTTGTTTTGTTTTTTAAGCTGAATTAAATTTATTGCACATTTGGTCATCCCCTATTGGTTAAAGATTAGTTATAGGATATGGCTTAGTGGTTAGGAGCAAGGATTCTGAAGTCAAATCAACCTCGTTTGAATCCCCAGCTTCACTAGTTAACCACTTTTTGTTTAATTACTTAGTTTATCTGAGCCTTGTTTCTTTCATCTCGGAAATGTGGATAACAGTACCATTCTTTAGGTTCTTGATGATTAACTGAGTAATGTTTATAAAGTGCTTGGCATCCAGCCTGACCTATAGCAGATGCCTAACTTTCTTTTGATTGATTACATTTGGTGAAGATAGCTAAATCGGCAGTTAAATTGGCATTTTCAGCTCCTCCTTCTTTGTAAAAAATACACTAGTAGTTGTATTGCTTAACCCAACCAGATAAAGGTTTAAGAAACCGTTTTTCAGTTCAAATATGTTACATTTTCTGTATGCATAACTAAAGGAACGCTTTCTAAATGCATCCATCTTTCAGAAGAAGATAAAGGTGGCAAAATGGCTGCAGCAGATTCTGTGCAGCAGAGACGCCAGTACAGACGACAGAACCAGCAGTCTTCATCTGGTATGGACACTGATGCAAGTTTTTTCGATCTGCATTTCCTAATAAAAAATACTTACAATAATAAATATCCATGAGAGTAGTGAGTGTGCTTAGGAGAACTACGTTTGTGCCTACAGAGAAATCTGTTAGGAGGAAGTGTTAACTTTCTGGGTTTTGGTTTTAAGTCCTTTCTTAAAACTTAATTTTCTTTTAAATTGTGAAAACAGTATTAAATCTTGAGTACAACAGTAAAACAAAACAAGGGTATAAAATTGGAAAAGTATAATTCTTTTCCCAGCCCCAGTCTTAACTCCTGAAAGCTTTTATTCAGAAATTTTCTGTGCATGTATAAGCATCTGTGGTTTAAGAAGTAAAATAGGGCCGGCCCCGTGGCTTACTGGTTAAGTGTGCGCGCTCCGCTGCGGGGGGCCCAGGTTCAGATCCCAGCGTGCACCGACACACTGCTTCTCCGGCCATGCTGAGGCTGCATCCCACATACAGCAACTAGAAGGATGTACAACTACGACATACAACTATCTACGGGGGCTTTGGGGGAAAAAAGGAGGAGGATTGGCAATAGATGTTAGCTCAGAGCCGGTCTTCCTCAGCAAAAAGAGGAGGATTGGCGTGGATGTTAGCTCAGGGCTGATCTTCCTCACAAAAAAGAAGTAGTAAAATAAAACCACGTGGACAAGCTCAAACTGTAGATTATGTTGCCTGGCTTTTTAACTTACCTAGACATTTTTCCCGGCGGTTCTTATGAGACGATCTACCTCTTTTTTTTTTTTTTTTTTTTACTAACTGCAGCATTTTTTTTAATTTTTTTTTTTTTTTTTTTTTTTTTTTTGTGAGGAAGATTGGCCCTGAGCTAACATCTGCCAATCCTCCTCTTTTTGCTGAGGAAGACTGGCCCTGGGCTAACATCCATGCCCATCTTCCTCCACTTTATATGGGACGCCGCCACAGCATGGCCTGACAAGTGGTGCATCGGTGCGCGCCCGGGATCCGAACCCAGGCCGCCAGCAGCAGAGCGCACGCACTTAACCACTATGCCACGGGACTGGCCCCTGCAGCATTTTTTTTATTGTAATAATACACTAATTTATCGAGCCAGTCGCCTATTTGGACATTTAGGTTGTTTCTAGTTTTTTTGTGTGTATTTATGTAAGTATATCTGTAAAATAATAATTAGAGGTAGAATTTCTGAATTAAAGAGTATGTGCATAGAAACCTGGTTCTTAAACCAGATGTTCTGATTTTATTAGCTCAGTTGATATTTGTGACTTAGTCTAGGCACTGCCTTTGCTGTTCATTTATAAAATGGAAACCAAAGCGTTCCACAGTGGCACTAAGTCAATTAAAAGCTGTACAGCTTTTACAGTGCATTGAAGATGAGGTTAATCATGGAAAGGTTTAAAAATACTTATAGGTCTTGGGCATTTTTTGGTACTTGGAACTTTGTTTTAAATTTAAGTTTTGATATTTGGGAATAGTGGTTAGTATTTTAAGTTAAGGAAACCATGTTCAAACAATTGGAGTTTTTCTCTTTGCAGTCCTGGATATTGCTACTGGGCCTGTAGGAAATGTCACACACATTTTTTTTTGTTTGTTTGATAAATGTGGGGGATATGGAAGTAAGTTACTCAAATCCTGATAAGACTTTCAGTAGCTTTAACAGTGATTAGAGTAGCAAGAATCAAGTAATTACTTGAGATGCTTTTTAACCTTTAGTTACTTATTTGGAAAATCACTAGATTCTTAAGAAACACTTGTGTCTTGTTGGATTGTACTGTGGAAATGATTTGTAAAACTTAAATAAATACACAGCATCATCATTATTATTGTATAGTTATGCTTGGATTTCAAGTCACTGAGCGTATATTGATATTGCCTTTGTTAGAACAGTTGGCTTGTATACGTGCTTGCTTACATTAGTGAATTTGACTTGCTAATTTGGATACTCCATCTGCTTAGAATCAAGATGTGGACAGACTCTTTTAAGCACAGACCTAATGTAATTTTTTGTTTATTGTGTAAATATAGATTCTGGCTCCTCCTCTTCCTCAGAAGATGAGCGACCCAAGAGGTCCCATGTGAAGAACGGTGAGGTAGGCAGGCGGCGGAGACATTCCCCTTCCCGGAGTGCCTCTCCATCACCTCGAAAGCGCCAGAAAGAGACCTCCCCTCGGTAATGTTTTTTCTTCAATAGTCTTCACTGATGTTCTGTAGTTGTGATGAAACTTTATAACTTAAGGGATGGGCGATGAGCTTATTTTAGAATTTGGTAAACTCCTTCACTTCAAAGACATACAGAAGGAGGTGGTCAGATTTTGTTTTGGGGGAGTTTGCTTTGCTTTGTTTGGTGGTTATTACTGTTTAATGAGAACTTAGTAAGTTTTGTACCACCATGTCACGTGTGCGTGACTAGAAGAATAGACCATTTAAATCATAGCATTAACTACTGAACATCTTTGAACCTTTAAAAATAAATATCTCCATTCGTGATACTTGACTCCATTGAAGTAAATAATTTGGTGAATGGAATTCTTGACATTTGTTTTTCTCCACTGCTCTCAGGATGCAGATGGGAAAGCGATGGCAATCGCCAATGAATAAAAGGTTGGTTAGACACTGCTTTGTAAATTAGGGTTACATGTCAAAGTTTTAGTGACTTAATTTACTGTTTAGGTAACCTTATCTCATTCCTAGGTGTACAATGGGTATGGTTGTGGAGAAGTTCCTCAGTTGTTTTGGTTGAATTATATGTATTGACACATCAAATTAATGATAGAGTTGTATGCAGTGTTGATTTTATTTTATTTATTTATTTTTAATTTATTTATTTTTAATTTATTTAGTGTGTTTGTGTGTGTGTGTGTGTGAGAGAGAGAGAGAGAAAAAGACTGGCCCTGAGCTAACATCCATGCCTACCTTCCTCCACTTTATATGGGACGCCACCACAGCATGGCCTGACAAGCAGTGCCTCAGTGCACGCCCGGGATCCGAACCCAGGGCCGCCAGCAGCGGAGCTCGTGCACTTAACTACTATGCCACGGGACCGGCCCCGGCAGTGTTGATTTTAGAGTGTCGTTTGAACTTAGATTTTTGTGCAGTTATAGTATCTGGATATTTTCCAAGAGATAGGATAATGATAGCTCCTTAGATTTAGGAACAGGACTTTGTGGTGACTTTAGGGAAGGAAAGAAAAATGGCGAAGAGACTTTAAAAAGATTAAAAAATGAATGTAAGGCTTTGGCCCTGTTGAGTGTTTCCTATAGTAGGAAGGTAGGTTGCATATCTTTATTGAACCTTTTTGATCATCAGTGTCTGTGTGACCATAAAACCGTAATGTTTTAGAGCCGGATCATACGTAGAAATCTCTTAATTCAGGCCTCGCTCAAAAGTGAGAGAAAACAGAGGCCCAAAAGTAGTAAAGTGAGTTTCTTACGTTGCGAAGTGACAAAGCCAGATCTTAAACCTGTGCCGTTGAGATTATACCATCTTCACTAGTCTCCTGCTTTTTAATTTAGCTGCCACTAAATTTCTAAGTATTTATGCTTCCTGAAACTATCACACTGTCCTCTTTATAGCTCACTTTTTGAAGCTGTGTTGTTTTAGGTAGTCTCATTAATAAGAGTGTTTTCTTGGAAAGGCTTTTTGTAACCAGTCAGCAGTGTTTGTGGTGGAGCAAAGCAGTGTATTTGCACTGTGGTAGTAACTATTACTTGAGGGTAAAAAATAAAAACCTATATAAATTTAGATGCTTAAGTATTCTATTCGCAGCTATAATTACCCCTGTCTTCTGTAAAACTGCTAGTACAGCAGCTAAAAAATTGCTTTACAAAATCAGGTTTGTGGTAAGATTTCTTCCCCCATCTTGAAACTACATTCTATATTGGAAAGAGATTTCTCACAACAGTGAAATCAGCACTAATGTTCATTACCCTGCTCCAGGGTGTTTTTGTTCTGTTTCCCCTCATTAAAAAGGTACTTAAGTCATACTAGTAGCCTCAAGTTTAATGATGTTAAAATTGCCATCAGGTGTTTAGAGTTTAGCGCTAGAGAAAGAATTATTTGGAATCATGTTTCAGTATTTATTGTATTTGAAGAAGGGAAATACAGCCTGGTTTTGAATATTTTATATGTAAAGTTTAAACACTGAAAAACATAACATTTTCCATGTTCTTAAACACTTGTATTTGGATAGTGAACACTCCTTTTTAACTTAAAGCATATGAGGTATATTGATCACATTTAGTGTAAAAAGATAGTTGTGGTATCTGTAACTTCTTATCTTCACTTACCAGGGTGGCTAGTGAAGTGAGATTGTTCTGAAGAGGTCACTGCAGAGATAGCAGGCTGGCTCCTCCTGAGAAGACTTGTCTCTTCTCACATACTTGAGGGCTAAGAGCTCCATTGAGGCTTATTGAAACCATGGTTCTCACACAATTTA